AAATAAATTTAGAGTAGAGAATTTATGAGTTTAAAGCATGAAATAAGTCTGCTTTATTTTTTTATTGTATAAATAAGTAGAATGCAAATGAAAATAACTACTTAATATATAAATATTATAAAGAAACACTATTAAATAAAATTGTTGGAAATTTAAACATTGGAATTTCGCTCAATCTCAATACATCACAATGTTTCTGCAGATTTTTTAGTACCACATTAAAGAGCGTCAAAGTGTTGTGGTATTATGTATAAATACACTTCAAGACCTCAGAAGACCGCGTTCTACCAGTTGGTAAATTCAGTAAATTGTAATTAATCTTTATATTATTTTAGAATCTCATCCTTCGATTGTATCTTTAGTGTATCGCTATTATACTGCGACACGTACAGTTTCGAAGAGAGAAAATATAATAATAATAATGGCATTATGATTGTATATACAATATGATAATATACATATATCCACTAAATTTCAATGACAAAGACATAAAATGTACAAGTCTCAGAAAGGTGGTTTCACTGCAATATTCTATAGCGAGGCAGGAAAGTACGATTTACAGGGGGAGAAGGAATATACTGTAATTCTACTGTAGCAAAACAGAAAGCTTTACTAGTAATTTAATTTTACTTCACGGAGCGAAGAAAAATAGCTACGTAGGTTATTCATGCGTGCAGATATTGCTATGCGTTGCAACCTTTTCATATAATGGGAACCGTCGAATGTTACCATGACGATAATTATGACCTTCCACCTGTTGTCTCAGTTGCCTTTTAGGAGATGATGCATTTTTCTTGCATAACGAGAAAGACGGAATAAGGATAAGAAAATGAAACAAATCGGATCGAAAGGAGTTAATCATATTAAGAATAATTAAATATCGAGAAGTATCTTAATCCGATAGAATGAATGCCAATTAGGAAGCCAATTGTATTGGAGCAATTTAATTAGAAAATCTCTTTTCTCTACTCCCGAACTCTTCTTTTCCAAGTATTCATTCACTTTCAACTTTCTTTCAGCTTTTATGTGATAAATTTTGGTTCCATTAAAACTTTTTGAAGATAAATATAAATTAATTTAAGCCAATTCCTTTCAAAAAGCTTAATTCTTGAGTAAGCAAAGGCTTTTCTTATTTATTTGCTGCTTATTTTTACAAATAAAAACATTAAGAAAAATATATGTTTTATATATAAAGCTCTCCTTTGTGATTCTATTTTATAAAAGATATACATTCTTTCCGTATATACATATCAATATATATCCACGTTATCTTGAACTACTTCTACCTACACATTTAAAAAGCCTTATTTCCTTTTCTTAATAAATTATGGAGAAGGAACAACTCCACAAATATACAGGAACGTAGAAGACAATTTCAAAATAACAAGACTTATATTTTTATATATTTAATAGAATTCTTGTTTCCTCTTCCTGATATATCGACAGTTTTTTTTAAGTTTTATAGAAAGATAAAAGAATATCTGTTCTTTTTTTATAGTCTACAGGAAAAGCCTTATTTCCTCTTACAGATATATAGATTTGTTAGATTTTTCACTGGTTATAGCTTCCGACAAACCTCAATGAAAAATTCATATAATAAAATACACATTTCTCAAAAGGCAACTTGACTGCAATATTGCGTAATAAGACAGGAAAGTATGATTTACGGGGGCATATATAATTTTATAAAAGTTTAACAAGTCTTATTTCCATTTGCCAAATATAGAAGACTTATATCCTTTTATGTGTATATCGGAAGTCTTGTGTTCACCATCTTTTATCTATGAGAGTTTGTAATTCTATATAGGAAGAGCTGTATCCTCTTCCGAATGATGACAACTGATAGCGGTTTCTAAGAGACTGGGACATCAAACTACGCTGGAAATCACTTTCGGGAATTGCAGTGCACAATCTTCTCTTCTATCCACAGAATGAAGATGCTGTAAGGTGCATTTCTTTATTTCTTCCCCTCGTATCCGGGACAACCGACTTTGACAACGTCGATTGGGAATTTTTGACGTTTATTCTTTCCACACGTTCCAAATAAAATTATAAGAGTTTGTATATCCTCCCGTTCCACTTTATTTCTAAAGTATAGCTATATATAAATCACTTATTTACAAAAAGTAATGCGACGAAAGATTTGAAAAGTAAGAAGTAAAAATATTTTTTCTTCTGTAAGTCTTCATTAAACGTTATTTTTTTAAATAAAAATTGACCAACTTCTTCATCTTTCTAGCTTTATTTTTTGCTTTGTCATAATAATCAATTACTGAAAAAATAATTTGAAACTAATTTTATGAGAGAAAGGTTTTCATCAGAGAAGCGGAACAAATTGTGTTTTAAGAAGAAAAAAAGAAAAAAAATCGAAGAACAGATACAGACAAATGAAAGCAGAGATGTGAAATAAGACAGAAATGAATAAACTTCTCATTCAACTTAAAACGAATCGAATGATAATTAAGGTTATGAAGGGAAAAGAGGAGGATGAGGAGGAGGAGGAGGAGGAGGATGAAGAGGAGAAGGAAAAGGAAAAGCAGAAACAGCAAAACCGCTCTCTTCCCTCTTACGAATAGAACACGCTTAGCAAAATGCAATTTATAAATGCATGCACACGAACACTAATTAACCGAAGTAGAGTTTGGCTTCTTTATTTTCAAATAACTGCAATAGTCACGTGAGAATCTTAGGTAAAAGGAAAAGAATGCGAAAAAGAAGCCCGGGAGCGTTTCTCATATAAATTCCTTCGTTTATATTCTTTATTTTTCGTTTCTTCGCTTCTTTTCGAGCGTCTTTTTTTAATTCATAAGTGAAAATTATTAAGAATTCTCGAATTATTCAGACGTGCGTTGTTCTTTCACTCATTTGTTTTGTCTCGTTTCTGCTCTACAAAATAAATTTCCTTTGAAAAATCTTATTTTAGTAAATGTGAAAGTGTAAAATACGTAATATATCGATTGATATAAGTATAAATATAAATAAAAATAGTATTTTTTTATGTTTATAACGCATTTTTTAGCAAACTTCTTTGTGGTGAGATACATCTAAATATGGAATAAACGCAAAGGATTTGAGATAATCCATATAAAATTCTTTTCTGTGGCTTAAAACCAAACTCTTTTCTTTATTGGTCTCTATTTGGAAGTAAGTCCTTCCAAATATCAAGTAGAAAAGAATTATTCGCATTGGATTAAGATGTATTCTCTACAGAACGGAAGAAACTTTTTACTTTTTTTTAACAAAAGCAGCCTAAGGGAAAAATTAAAACAAGGATCTTTTTGATAAGATGTAACGAAAGATAAAGATTATATTCTTTTAAAAAGTTTAAATATTCAGAATTTAAGATAAGAACTGAAAATTTTTGGATTTTTTCTCAAGCTTCTTCGTATAGGACCTATGATAACTCGTTTATGGTAATGAATCGTGTTTAATAATGAAACGTACTATAAAAATGTGCATAAAAAAGAGTAAGTTTAAAGGAATAAAACATTTACCACTCATTCTCTGATATCTAACCTTAGAGTTATGATTAGAAATCTTTCAGAGCTACACAAGAGCTGTAATTCTCAATAACATGCAGCAATGTGCAATAGACGTATAGTAGTGCATCACAATTCCGAATTACATCCATTTTCTATTCTTTATTGCATTCTTGGAAATCCATTTTTTAAATAATTCCTTTAACAGATGTAACGCGAAATCTTTCTTTAAATATTGATGCCGACCACGTAACAAACTTCGAAGCGAACTTCTCGAAACTACTTAAATAGCCCGAAAAACTTGGGAAAGTTTGATATATAATATTAAAATTTGACGTAATTTCTAATTTCTTCTCACATCCCTGAAGATTTTATTGATTTCTTTACCCCTCTAAGACTATTTTAATTATTTTTGTATGCTTAAGACCCTTCTAATTCGCTCCTGAAGATACTATTAATTCTTTTAAGCATCTAAAGTTTATGAAATGCAATATGCGAAAATGTAAAATCTAACTTCTCATATCTCTGGAGACTCTTTACATTTTATTCGTACTATATAGACTCTTTTAATGCTTTCCTACATCCTATAGACCCTCTAATTTCCTTCCAGTAACCTATAGACTCTATTAATTCCTCCAAGCGCCTAAATTTTATGAGTTTTGTTCTTTGAAAGGGTTCTACAATACTGAAATTTAAAAAAAAAACAAAACTAAATGTTAATCGAGATTCTCTATAACAAAAGAAAATGGAACGTGAGATGAAAAATTGATTGATGATTGACGATGAATAAAAATATCGTACGTAATGTCACTTGTGTGAGCGTTGGAATTATATTTTTGTTTCCGTAAAGATGACGTGATGTGTATGTTAAATTCCACACGAAATCACGTGACTTGTAGAACATAAATTTACTCGGTCACATGACATAATGAAGAAAATCCTTCGAGTGACAAGCATAACTTATCTAAAATCAGAGAAAATGAATAATTATTTTTCAATTCTCTATTAAAAGCTACGAGCTTTTAGAATGAAGTTTTTAATAAAATTATTTAAATTAAATGACTTTTAAACGTTATTCACGAGAAAAATGTTAGAAAAAAAAATATACATATATAAAGTAAATTTTTCTTTCATTTATTTTTTTATTAGATGAGTAAATCCTAACTTTTTCTTTAACTTTATTAGTCAGAAAAGATGAAGTTTCGAGACGAAAGCAAAGCAAAAATGTAATTATGTCTCCGGAGTAGAAGTGATTGACAGATTCCAGAATCCAGAACGGACTCGGAAAATCTAATAGAGGAAGCAAGGAATTAAGGCGATGCCACTGCTCCTTATCTAGATAACTTTCGTTTCGAGGAATTCCGGAAGATCACGCGATACTTTTATTCTAGAAAATGCCATCAATCAAAGAGAGGAAGAAAAAGAAAGACTTTTACTTCTACCTAAAACTTGTAACCATGAAGTAGAATGTTGCATAAGTCGAAGAGTAAAGTCGAGAGGGTGCAACAGAGTCGAACTTACCTTTCTTTCTCAAGCTCGTTTTCGGTTTTTTCGACAGTCTCTGCTGTCAGGTCTTCTACTGAGTGTACGGTGGGTAATTCGGGAGCTTTGCTGCTCGAGGAGCTTCCCGAAGTTCGGCGCAAAACGTCCAAGCGCAAGCTATCTCCGAAGGCTACAGAGGATCTTGGCGAAGGGGTGAGCCATCCTTTGCCACCGCTTCCACCGCTGAGCCTTCTTTCTGGAGCAGATTTGGCGCTGCTGATTGAGCCGCTTCGACATCTTTCGACGGGTGCTTGCACAGTTAAAGTGCTACAGGTGGTTCGCACTCTTCTACCATTAGCAATTGTATCCACTCCAACGGTGGAGCCTGCTCTTCGCCTCTGAAGGCTGCGACGAAAGGCTGCCTCTGTTTCCTTATTTCTTTTCTTAACGCGGACACTATAAGATCGCACTGGAAGCATGTCGATTCGGGACTTACGATTTGCACATTATCCTGTAAAAGAGCGGGAATGACATCTCTCTACATTCTTCAATCTCGATTTCCCACTGACTCGCTCGCACACCCTCTCCACTCCGTTCTCATGGCAACCGATAGGTAAACCAATCCGGTGTTGGGGCGTGGTTGGCACTCTCTACCCTTTGCTTCTCACTACCTCGAATTCGTAACACTCGTCTCTGTCACCTCATAATGATCTTTCCAGCACCCCTGCAGACCCTCTAATTCTTTTCGGTACCCACATAAACTTTTCTATTTTTCACTCGGCACTCCTGGTACCTCTCTAAAGAGAAGCATAAAGAGTGCCGAGGAAAAATTATGGGTTTATATGAGGGTTTATACGAATATTCTTTATACTTTAGAGAAGCAAAAAGAGGAGTCATATATCTTAAACTCTAATTCCTTTCAGAATACCTACACACTTTTCTACTTTCTTCAGACCTTTAAAGATCCTTCTGATTCCTTCCAACACTTTATTTTCATTAAAGCTCAGAATATTCTTATAAATATTTCCAGCATTTTACATGCCCTCCTAATTCTTATATTCCTGGAGATCCCTCCGCTTTTTTCAAAGCTCTAAAGATCTTTCTGGGTATTTCTAGCACTTTTTACACACTCCTAATTCCTTCTCATACCCCAGAGATCCATTTAATTTCTTTAACGTTTGTAGGACATCCTGACATCCTAATACTTTCTCAGACCTTATACATTCTTCTAAATTTCTCCAACAGCCTATAAATCTTATTAATTCTTCAATTCCTACTGTCCTAATTTAATCCTTGATTTCCTAGATAATTTAAGCCTTCAATTTTTCATAGACAAGGAAAACTTAAAGTGCATCTGAAATAGCAAGTTACATTGACTTGACTTTTGTATTCTTTCGGTTAAATGCACAATAAACAATAAAATACTTGACTTGTTTCGTCTCAAAACATCGCCAACAACCCCAAAAGGCAATATTTGCTATGAAATAAAACAATAAAGTTTACACGAAACAAATTTATTTTTTTAGTTTCTTCTTTGAATTATTCGCGTTTTTTGAACGAAATGAAATCTAAAATTTGCCCAAAAAAATAGTTTTCAATTTTAAATGAATGATAAATAAAACTAATGACGTGAACTCCGATTGTTTGAGGGTGATTTTGATTTGTCAAATCGTGTCTCGTCGGAAATGACGTATCTTAGCCGATCCACGTGATAGGTTACGGGATCACATGACAAAACTCATCTATCACAATCATAAAAATGTTAACTATATTATCACGTTATGTAACACAAAATGCACCAGTCTAAAGCGCTAGAACATTCGTTCCTACGAAATTATTAAATTTATTAATTAAAAATAAATAATTCGTTAAGTAAATTCAATCAAATTGAGATTTTCTCTAATTTTATTGAAAAAACTTTACTTTTATCCATATTTTATATAGCAGTAAAATGTCGATCTGTATTTCTTTCCGAAGCACGAACGTGAAATATATTACGTGTTAACTGATACAGAAATGACGTCGCTACGTCTAACATCAACAGTGACGCTATCAAAAGAAGAATTGGTGACGTTACAGATGAACAATAAACTATCTTCCTCATTTTTTTAAGTGTTTTGTGATTATTCTGTACAGAATTTGTACCGTGTCGAGTCTCCTTAATCTCATTTTCCACAGGCCCGAACAATAAATTATTTTCTTCCTATCCGGATAATTAAAGAGATGGTAAACAAGCCGTCACACGTGTAATAATGTATCATGTTCATGATAGGAATTTCAGCAAGGTAGAGTTAAGCATATAACACAAATTATGATAATTAAAGGGATGAATAATTTGTTATTGAAGCGACAAAAATCCGAGCCCTTTATCCTTTCATAACGAAAAGCGATTAGGAGAAAATCCGTTCGTCGGTTTCTCTTATTCGTTAATTACTTAATTTCTAACGTGTATATTGATGACGGACTAGGAAATAGAGTGACGTATTCTTTCCTCACTCTACGTAATTTCGTTGTGTTTTGTGCGACATATTGCGCCAAACGTTATATTACACTCGATATGAAGCAGAGAATGCGTTCTCCACGATAAAGGCAATTATTCAAGTTTTGTTCTAAACAATATTGGCTTTTGGTAACCATGGAAACAGTTGAGAGCCCATTCCAGATACGACAACTTGCTAGTTCGTGTGCCGACGAATTGCTCTAATCTACTCTTCATTTATAAAAGCAACAGGATAAATGTCATTAAATTTTAGGAAAATGATAATTTCTAAAGTTGATATTAAAATAAATTTGTTTTAAAAATTTTTAAACGAATAAAAACAGTCCATATTTTGAAATATTTCCGTTAAATCTAACGAACGAATCGAAACACATTACGCTTATTTCGTAATAATGAAAAAATAACCACGTACTGTACGCTTATTTAAATTTTTATATGGCACTCGAATCTTATTGGTCAAAAATAAATTTAAAAATTCAAACTTCATCAATTATTTACCAGTAAACAGCAAAATAAATTAGAAAAATCTTAGAGTAACAGCACTGACAGTCTGTTTCAGTTTCATCGACTCTTTGAAATAAAATACTTTTTCTTTTAAGATTAAAAATATTTTAAAAACAGAGTAAAAATGAATAAACACAAAGTTTGTTATTTTGCAGAATTTGCAAAAATAAATCCTCTGTTCGTAATATGTGCAGCAAGAATACCTCTGATATTCTTGTTATGTATAGTCTCTTATTTAACATTGTTTCTTCATACGATTCGCTTTATCTTCACAAAGATTTAAGTATATTTTCGTGCAAGGAGTAAACTAGAAAAGTATATAAAGTTTAACATATATGGGAAAATATTGTTTATATTAAAGGTGTTTCTAGTTTTATGAGAGATATAATAATTCTAATTCTTAAACCTTGAATCTCCAAATAATTTTAAACATTAGAATGTTTAAAATTATTCGGAGATTCAAAGGTTTTAATTACTAAAACTATTAAAATTATTAAACTAGTATTAAAATTAAGATTATGCTTAGACTTTAGGAGAATCTTGAATTAAATCCATTCAATTCTTCAAAGTATATAGTATTAAATAATCCTCAAGAGCGTACTTCTTAATGTTGTAGCATACGATCTTTGTCTCTAAACATGCGTGTCTTTTATTAATTAAATCAAAGAATTATTTAATTTGTAAGCGTTTAAAATCATGTTTTATTCGCTTTTTAATGCGGATTATATGTGAATAAGCATATGAAAGTTAGCGTGTACGAGATGTACTCTCTTCAATTTAATTTAAGCAATTTATCTAAATTAATTTCTGAGAAACGGACAGACAAACAAACAGATGAATTGAATCAATATAAAATATCAGTTATCTAGTCTTTTCACTTTTTAAATTTATTAGAGCATTGTATATTGAATGGCGAATTCGGAAGTAATTTATATAATTAAATATGTAAGTTAGAAAATTCATTATAACCAGAATCGAATTTACTGATAAGGTATAGTTTAGGAATCACTCTATAAGAGTATAGTATAGGTCTTAATTTTTTAAAATATTTTATTATTTGATAGAGAAGATGCTTCAATATATTATAACTTAAGGCTACCACAAATCTAAATCCAACCCTGATTATAACTACAGGAAATTTCAAATTTCTAGCTCCTAATTTTCAAAAATCGTATACACATATACACACTCATAAATCTATTCATTAGACAAATATTTGAATAATTAATTTGCATTTTAAATTAAATTTTAATAAATAAATGGGAAATAAATATTAAAACTCTTCTTCTATATCACTAAATTTTTTTCCTTAATTTTCTTATATTTTTGGAAAGAAAAATCTGTTACATTTTTTGATTTGATTGATCGTCAGAGCGTTTGAAACGAAATATTACACTTTGTACATGTAGGCCTAACCTGCGTTTTAAGTACAAGTTTTAAATATATATATAACTCTACCAACACTTTCATTCACTGCAAGATTTAGAACATAAAAATTAATATTTTCTGTGCAGAATATTTCTTGTTTGAACCCGGCAGATATTGATCTAAATTATAAAAGAAAAAGTAAAAATATTTTTGTAAAATTTTAATAAATCCGAAATAACATTTTAAAGCTTTTTAATATATATATATATATATATAGCCTATGTATTATGGTCAATACAATTTTTGTATATAAAGCTTCTCGATAAGTTACAAAAGTATTTAATGTACTGAATAAATACATCATGTTAACGTTAATGTTGGCTTTTAAATGAATAATTTATAGAGATAAATATAACAAGAAAAATTTATTTTATTGTAGAATAAAGATAAAATTGTTTTTCTTAAATAAAAATAAGGAATTATTCTTTTTTTAATAAGTAATTTCTTTATTTTTATTGATTTAGATCCTAAATAAGTGAGTTTTTTTAAGGCATTAACACCTCTTCATCATCGTTCATAATTTTATCCTAAAGCAAGGAATAAATATTTCATTAACAAATTATTAAAATAATTTTGGATCCGCATGTTGGTCCATTTGTCCATAAATATCCACATATTATAAGAGCTTCGATATTCATTTCTAAGTTTCATCAGCTCTTTTTAGACATCAGCTGTATTCGATCATCCATTTCCTAAATTCAATATATAAGGTTAGTTCTTGCGTTCAATTTCCGTTTCCTTCCTGTTGAATGGTTTTTATAGTCCCGAAAATTGTAATTCTTCAGTCGAAAGACAGTCTCCATTGTCAATTCACATACAGAACAAACGTAGACATTTTAACTTAATGGATCGATAGTCGTGAATTAACACGCGCATTAATATATAAACTGCTCTTTGTTGATCCTTTCTAACACAAACAAATGAATCATAAAAAGAATATATATATATAGAAGAACATTGAAAACTGAAGAGAACAGGACAATAATCAATTACTTATACGAGTAAATTCATCGAAATCCTATTAATTAATATGGTTTACACAAGGGTTTATTCCACTAGGGATTCAGGGACTTCACGGATCCTGGTGTTGTTTCTAAGGAATTTGATTAGGAACATTCATAGGAATGCTACAACATAGGGATATACAGTGTAATCTATCATAAGATTCCAGTTTAAACAAATCCTACTGTATATAATTTCGTTCCTATATCAATCCTATATCCTCATATATTTTCCTACATTCTCTAAGTGCAATAATTTTAGGTGAAATTTAAAAAATAAGCCAAATTTTTTCAAGATTGACATCTTCAAAAAATTATTGCAAAATATAGATTTATATGGCATTTATTTTCATTTTAATATCTGAGATTTGATATTATAAAGTGCAAAAGTACAATTTTTGAAAATATTTCTTTACGTATTATTTAACTTCTTAGTTTCTAACATTTTTACATAATTTCTCTTAAAATCAATAA